AAAAAAAAAAAAAAAAAAAAAAAAAAAAAAAAAAAAGAAAAAACAACGCAGGCAGGCAATGTTGTGAGCGATAAGGTTTCCGTAGCGAGATTATGAGATGGAACTTGGTGTCGCAAAATGTTTGTACCGTGTATATTCAAGTTAAATAGTTCGGTCGGATCATTGTCGGTTGTCGCACGATGGCGGTAATTGTCGTCGATTCTGTAAATATCTCGATGTCAAATAATCGTCGACGACAACGGTTCAATTTAGCAGATCGTAATCAATGCTTTATCGCGCGCAGATAGATACGGCCAGATGCTCGCATTGTCCTCATTAAAGATTAGTAAGCCAACATAATTACTCACCGTGTGTTTGTAATTTACTCACGTGGATTTGCGAGAATGTACGAGAGGTTTCTTATCAGGATATTTTCGAGCCGATGTTAATATTTGTCGGGGATACTTTTACTCACAGCGAAACGGTGGCAGAGAGATGGATCTTTTGTTTGGAAAGTATTGCTTGATATCGAGGACTGTACAGTTGTACAACTGCAAAAAAAATTTGATAAAATATTGTTAGGAGGTACTGCGATCGATTGCGTCCCGCTTGATATTATTCCTACTATTTTATTGTATCATTTCTGTCTATACATTAGGATATGTTGCACCCAGATGGCATAGCCGAGGATAGAGGAACCGTGAACGAGACGACGTTGAATGACAGAAGCAACTCCGAATTCTGGAGTTCATTTAGCAGCTCCGAGGAACGACTGTTGGACTGCAAAGGGTTAATCTTGAATTTGCCTTTAACGCCGCATCGACATTGTACTCCGAAACACGAGAGCGAACACTCGGCCGCCTCGTTTGCTAACACAGTTACGTACAGGTATACTATGCTGTTACTACAACTATTTATGAACGATAAAGTAAGATTTTAAATCTTCGAAGGTAAACAATCATTTAGATAAAGTGAATTTTTGACAGTACAAAGACCTCCTCGAACGATAAACCAATATATATTTTAAACAAAGTTACGAATTTCGATAATTTTTGTACCGTGTTGCCGATGATTTACAAATACAGATGGGATACAGTTTTTGTTAAACATCTTATTTTGATGTTGATAATGAATAAAATGTGAAATAGAAAAATAGAGAGGAGAAAAATATTTAATCGATGTTTGATAACTCTATAGATATTAGATAGTACAGAAGTTCTTTGATAATAAATTGTAAAACCGTTTAAGAAGATTCTAGATCTTAGTTCCAGAGTCCAAGTATCTATTCGATGATACAAAAATTAAATAGTTAAAATAAATTAAGAATTTGAAGGACGTGTAAATGTTCCTAGTAATTTGAAAACTTCAAGGGAATTCAAGGAAAACTAAAGAATCTACGGAACGAAGATTTCGGAAAATTTAAGTACTCTTAAACGTTCTAAACATCGTTCTGTATAAAAATATCAAACTTAGAAAGTCGACGACACGCTGTTAATTTCTAATAAATTATTTAATAATTTCGGCGGTATACCGAATAACTTCAACCAGGTTTAACTTATAGTGAACAAGTTTGTACTCACTACTGAGCCTGACTCAAAGATTAACGCTA